GGCTTTACCGGTTAGCATCAAAAACCAGCTGGTCCTCATACTTGTTTACTCCTGAATTCTCACTTCCTTCACTAACTCGCACGATAAGGACAAGGTCCCTCTTGGCCGCTCCTGTGTCCCCAGCACCTGGCCCACAGCAGGTGCTCAATAGCTGTTTGTTGAATGAATGCCCGAACTTCTGTTTACACACTCACCCAAGGGCCAGTTCATCTGCTTCCCCAGCCACCCAAAGAGACCACTTTACAGATGGGGAAACTGACCACCCAGACGGGGCACGTGAGACTTCCTGGACCCAGCAGGCCTTGGGAAATGTCTGCACCATGGCAGGGGCCAGCGTCCAACAGGGGTGGACAGGCCTGACAGTGGAAACAGCTGCTAAGTCAGGTTGGGCTTGGGGAGGACAGGTTCCTTTGCTTCCCCCAATTCTCCCCGCGGGTTTTGAGATGGGGCCTTTGACACCCACTCCCCTAGGCAAACACACCCCCTCTCTGGCACCTGCCCAGGAACAGGCCAAAGAGGAAACTACTTTCTCTAGCAGGAAACCAAGGAGGGCTCTGAGCAGAGGTGACTCAGGCTGGGGTGGGCAGACAGAAGGAGCAGCAGCCCCCTTCCCCCCCTCCCCCGGGTATGGAGGTGAGGGGGGATGGGGGCAGGTTGGAGGGACCCACCTGGCAGGTAAATACCCACTTCGAGTGGTTAAGGTCCCTTAAACAACCACATCTGTAGAGACCAGTACAGCTTCTGGGTAATAATAACAATAAAGTAATAACAAATATAATAATAATAAAGAAATCACAAAATACCAAAATGAGAAAAAGTTATTTTAAAATAATAAAACACCTACAATAGTGAACTATTTAAGATAATTATTAAAGAATGGACCCTCCGCTTTGCTGGGCACCTCCAAGTGCAGGGTCACTGACCCCAGCCCCTCCAATAGAGGACCGCTGTTATTTCATTTTACAGATGGGGAAACCGAGGCACCGAAGGGGTAACAGCCCGCCCGGGGCCACTCGGAAGGGCACACGAAGAAGCGGAAATGAAACCCCAGCAGCCAGGGTGGACCACCTGGGTTTCTGCATCAACACTCGGGTTAGAAAGAGATCTGCGAACCTGGGGGAGGGGGGCATACCCATATGGGGCCGCCCACCTGCCTCCAGTCCACGTCCCAGGACACACAGGCTCGTGTTGGCCCGGGTTCGTAAGCCCCCCATTCATTTGGGTATTTACCCGGAGAAAAACAAAGAGCGCGTCCACCGGGAGGTGGGGGGCTCACAACCCCGCCGGGTACACAGGACTGGCTGGGGGGGGGGCGGTAAATCCCCGGCGGGGGGACAGGAACAGTCGCAATTGGGTAAAAACCCAGAACACCACCAGCGCGGATTCCGGGTACACCGCGCGCAGCGGCACCGCCTCACCCGACGCGGCGCCCGGGACCCCCGAAGCTCGGGAGCCGGGGGTCCGCACACGCGGACACGGGGGTGCCCCCTGCGCCCCGGCAAAGACCCAGGAGTACGGGGATGGGGCTTCCCTGGGAAACACCCACTGACAACAAAGCCCACCACCAACCCGCTCCACCCGAGTGGGGTACCCCCCAGGAAAGGGGGCGGGGCGGGCCGGGGGCTGCAGCCCGGGAGGGGGTAAGAGGAGTGGGCCCCGGAGCCCGGAAGCGCGCCGCACCCGCCCGCCGGCCGCGCTCACAGCGTCCGCCACCCGGGGCTCTGTCTCCTCCTGCTGGGACCAGGTGGGGCTGGCACGTGGGATAACGGCAGGAGAAGCTTTTCAGATGAGTCTAGCTGGCAGGCAGCCCTCCAGAGGGGCTATCCGAGGACACTGGGGGGGCGCTGTCTGTTACCAGCGCCCACTAATCATAAGGGGCTCCAGAACAGGAAGCCCGTCCTGAACTTGACGGATAGGGAGGCCCAGGAAGTCACAGGGCATAGGGCAGGCAGTGGCTGCGTAAGGAGGGCACAGGAGTGGTACGGGAGGCCGGAGGCGGGGCGGGGCGGAGCCTGGAGGCTGGACGCGCCTGGTGGGAGTCGCGGCCACGTCGCGGCCGAGCCCGAGCTGCGGGCCGGGGACACCCAGCCCCGGGGCAAGGACGGGGACACTGAGGGGGCGGCACCCAGCCCCGGGGAATCCGGGGCAAAAGACGGCGCCTGTCCTGCGCCCGGGCGGGGCTGTGGGCACGGCACCCAGCCCTAGGGGGACAGATGGCGAAATTGAGGCCTGGGGAAGGAGGAAGGAAGCGGACGTCCTTTTCAGAGGCTTGGACAGATGAAATGACCCATGCTACACCCACCCAGCACCAACAGGGCTTTCCTTCCGCCAGACCCCACCCAGCCCTCTGTAAAGGGCAGCCTCTGGAGTCCTGGCTGGGTGCCTCAATCTACCCTTCTCTAAAAATAGAACAAAGCTAACCCCACCTCCTTCTGCCTTTTAGAGTTTATTCATTTAGCAAATGCTCACTGTCCTTGGGGTGGGGGCTGTGCTTTCCGGACCCAGCAGTGATCAAACAGGACCTCCCCGCCCTGGGCTAGGGAAGAGGAGACCTTGGGAAAGAGGACTGGCAGCCTGCAAAAGTGGGAGGGGTATGCCAGGCAGAGGGAACAGTCAGTGCAAAGGCCCTGGGGCATCCAGAGCAGGGCGCTAGGTGAAGGGGGGGGAGCAGAATAGAGGTGGAGGAGAAGGGACAGACTGATGAGACGGGGCCCCTTTGATGGCAGACCTGGTGTTTGACCTGAGGGTTAAGGACAGAGAATTAAACCTGCTCTAGAATCTAGAATCCACCCTTCATTCTACAAGAAAAGTGTGTGTGTGGGGGGGGGGGGGGGGGGACATTATAGGAATGTAACAGCTCTTACTGCAACCATTCAGTGGCTAAGAATCCGCCTGCCAATGCAGGGGACATGGGTTCGAGCCCTGGTCCAGGAAGATCCCGCATGCCGCGGAGCAGCTAAGCCCGTGCGCCACAGCTACTGAGCCTGCGCTCTAGAGCCCGCAAGCCACAACTACTGAGCCCGTGTGCCACAACTACTGAGGCCCGTGCGCCTATAGCCTGCGCTCCACAACAAGAGAAGCCACCGCAGTGAGAAGCACGCGCACCGCGACCAAGAGTAGCCCCCCGCTCGACGCAAGTACAGAGAAAGCCCACGTGCAGCAACAAAGACCCAACACAGCCAAAAATAAATAAATAAATAAGTAAATTTTTTACAAAAAAAGAAAGAAAAATGGGGAACTAGGACCACGATAAGAGACACCACAGGGATGCAACCCCCGGATCCAGCCTGGTGGAAAGAGTACAGGACAAACAACCCGATTGCTTTAACGTATAAAGAGCAAGAGGGGAGAAAAGGAAAAAAGAAAAAGGAAGAGGAACTATTACAAGACCCAAGAAAGCACACAGTGTGTGACCTCACGTAGATAAATATGAAAAAAGCAAGGTGATACAACTTGGGAGATGGTACCTCCGGGGGGAGTGCTTGGGCGGGGGCTCTGGGGGCCGGGATGTTTGGTCTGTGGCTCTGGCCCACGACGACCAGCTGCTCAATAGATGTGCTAACTCTACAGGACACAGCCTTGGCCTTGCCGTGATTCTTGGGCCTCACTCGTTCCTGTCCTCACCTTCTTTTTTTTTTTTGGCCTCGCAGCCTGGCATGTGGGATCCCCGACCCGGCATCGAACCTGTGTCCCCTGCAGTGGAAGCGGGAAGTCTTAACCACTGGACTGCCAAGTCCCTGTCGTCACCTTCCTAACACCCTCCCAGACCCTGAGCCAGTCCATGAGCCGTTGCTGCCAACCACCCCCCCCAACCGAGGCCCCCTCCAAGGTCCAGCCCCCTGCCGAGTTCTCTCCGAGGCCCACTCAACTCAGCAGCCTCCCCAGGACAGTTCCTCCATGCCCGTGGAGTATCCCTGGGTCTCCTCATACTAACCTGGCCCTCATTACCACCCCAAAGGGATTTTTTTTTCCTTTTCTGAATTTTTAGGCCATTGTCAAGAATGATGTTGAAGCCTGTCTCCCCCCCAGGCTCCTTGTTATTCATTTCTTTTCCCCCTTTTAGTCTTTTTTACACAGACGGCATCATCTTTTCTTTTGCTACTTAGAACAGCCCAGTGCCCTGTTTCATGCCTCACAGGCTAGTATCTGGGGTACATTTCTGGGTGTGGGTTTGGGGATCAACATTATCCTTTATAAACTTCCCTCCACCTGGTTCCCACTACCAGCAGCACAGGTATCTGTGTCCCAGTGCTGGTATCTGCCAATCAATGCCCGTTAGGTGGGAGGTGGACACTCTCAAGGGGTCTGATTCGCAGCAAAGTCCTGGGGAGGTTGAGTTTTGGTTCCTTTTTTGTTTTTCTTTTGTTTTGTTTGAGGTTAAGAACAGGCATCTTCTAACCACAAGATCCCGGGCATCCCTCTGTTGCCCTGAACCTTCCATGGCTCGCCAGTGTCCTGGGGCAAACTCTGGCAGCAGATACTGAGGACCTCTGAGGGCTGACCTCGCCGCCAGCCGGGGCCCACCCACCCAGAGCCCCAGCCCCATGGAAGGTCAAAGTCATGGCCTCTGCCTCATTCCCTAGACTCTGTGGCTTTGTCCCCCTGCTTCTCCTGCTGGTGGGTCTCTACCCTTCTCTCCCCTGGGGTAGGATCGGTCCTTCCCGGGTCCACAGCAGCCTCTGGGGAGCCTACCTCACCCCTGCTCCTCCCCAAGCCCCTCCTCCAGCCTCCCCCTTCCTGTGCTCTTATCCTGACCCCCAAGGTTGGGGGGAGGAGGGAATGGGAGAGAAGGGGTGCTGTGCTGGTGAACCGCAGGGCGCGCAGGAGTGGCCAGTGGCTGCAGGAGAGGCGGGAAGGCGGGGACACAGTGGGATGCGGGGTATAAACGCGCGGCGGCTGAGCGCCAGCGGAGGATCCACGGAGCCCAGCGAATCCGCGCTCCAGACCTTGTGGTGCATCCCAGGAGGGCAGCTGGGAGGAGGGTCACTGCCCCATCCCCGGGTGAAGTCCCGGAGGGCGGCTGGGAGGAAGAGGGCGGCAATGCGCGCCTTGGCCACGTCCGGGGCCAACGCGTCCTGGTGGGCGCTGGCCAACGCATCCAGCTGTCCCGGCTGTGGCGCCAACGACTCGGACGGCCCGGCCCCGGCGCCGTGGCCCGTGGACGCCTGGCTAGTGCCGCTCTTCTTTGGCGCGCTGATGCTGCTGGGCCTGGCAGGGAACTCGCTTGTCATCTTCGTCATCTGCCGCCAGAAGCAGATGCGGACGGTGACCAACTTCTACATCGGTGAGCGCCCGGGCGCTGCGCGGTGCCTGCGGGCCATTCCGGGGGTCGCCACGAGGGCGGAGTGGCCAGGGGCGCCCCTAGCGGTGCATCGGAGTCCTCTTAGATAGGGATCTCTCCCCTGCAGGGCTCCCTGTCCTTTCCCTATTGTCCCTATACCTTAGGCTGGAGGTCGCAAACTCTGGCGTTGGAGGGTTCCACGGTGGCCGGAGTAGTTAAAAGGGAGGTTGGAGAGTGTGGCCCATGGAGCGCTGGCCATGCCACTCAAGGAAGATGTCCGATTGAAGTGTGGTTCTTCTAACATGGTGTCCGATGAATAAAAGGAGTGGAGGAAAGACTGCATGGCCCGCGGGCCCCGAGTTTGCGCCCTCTGCCCCAGAGGCTCAGTTTACACATTTGTGTGATGGGGGTGCCCTACCCGGCTGAGTACTCAGTCAGTGTTCTCCATTCTATGTTGGCTGTTGGGCAACACCACTCTACCCAATTTTCAGGTAAGAAAACTGAGGCTCAGAGGGGCGGGGGCCTACTCGCAACCCCCACAGGGGTGAGCAGGGTCCATTGCTGCTTGAACAGCTATGAAGCCCCTGCTGGGGGGTGTATGAAATATAAAAGGGAGAGGAGGGTGCCCCAACTTCTCTGCCCTCTCTGGGGGCCTCGTGAGCCACCCTGCTGGTCACCGGGACAAAGGCGAGGCCCAGGGGGCTGGGCCAGGGCGCTGGGCGGCTAGGCAGACACGCCCCACATCTAGCACCCGCGTGTCCCCCGCCTGCAGCCAACCTGGCGGTCACAGACTTGACGTTCCTGCTGTGCTGCGTGCCCTTCACCGCTCTGCTCTACCCGCTACCCGCCTGGGTGCTGGGAGACTTCATGTGCAAGTTCCTCAACTACATCCAGCAGGTGCTTGGGCTGGGGGAAGGGGTTCGCGAGCCAGGGGGAGGAGCCGGTGTGGGCGGGGCTGGACCTCCTGCTGGGCGTGGAGGGGGGGGGGGGGGTGGGTGGGGCTGGAGCAGGGGG